GAAGTATTTTCTAAATTGAAGTAATTTTTAAACTATTTACTGCCTGAGTCCCATACACCTTACGTACATACAATTCAACGATCAACGTCTACCTGCCATCGTACCCGCCAAGCGCATATAACAATTGTACCTAGTCAGATTTTGCGATGTACAATCCTAATAGTTAGGTGCTTCTATCTTGGAGGAGTATGCACAGAGGTTAGTGAAATGTACGTTTACAGATGATATTGGTGCTGATGCTTTGGTATAGACTAGTAGTCATAAAAATATCGATTTGGATTTTGTACTTTAGCAGTCCTTAAATTATACTAACGTCGTCTTATCGCTGAACACTAGGCTGTGGATATCATAGCCACGGGCGCGGTCAAATTCATTCAAAAACTTCGAAATAGGAATCTCGCGCTTGGCCAAGACGGAAATTCCATGTCATCAACCGCAGTCCAGACGACTGCTCGAGGGAACCACCGCAGGCGATGGGGTAGCGTATGGCCATCGTATACCCGCCGAGCACCTGAGCCCTTGCCAGTAAGGACCATTTTCAGATATACATGCTGTCCAAGACATATGTAACTTAATGTCCTTTAGGATAAAAGGTCTTTTCCTGAGAAAGTCATACATGTGTCGCTGTAAAATTTTTTTGGTAACTAATTAGACAAAAAACGTTTTTATTTTGGTATATAATGAACGTTATTTTACGTTTACATAGGTTTAGGTAATCTCACATCTCCCTTTTAATTAGTGAGGTGTCACACACAGTAAAAAAAAAAAGCTGCTCCAAAAACTGTTTTCAGTCGTACAATACATAACTTACTTTTGCTATTTATTTTATTTTTGCTTATTTTTGCTATTATTTATTAAGTCTCTATTATACGAGCTTACGATTCTTTTAGGAGGTGTCATACTACGGTAGACAACGGAAGAACATCTGGGACGTCTTCAAGAAGCCATCTGAACATGCTGCTTCAAGTACGATCGAGCAGTTTAACACTAGTTACGGCCGCTTTGCTGTACATTACTACAGGAGATAATTTGACATATAGTATTTATCTGGTTTGTAAGAAACAGGCTGACGGTGTGGGAATCTGAACGACTGCACCTCTGGCTGGAACAACCAGGGGCCGCTGATCCAAGCCCCACCAATCATACACACAATAAAAACCAGTGCGAATAAATAAATAAACAGCGCAACTTATTAGGGTAGTTTTTCGTGTTTATCCGTAGCACTGCGAACGGTTTGAAATTTAATGACATCAGCAATGAGATAGCTATATGGTTTGTTATTACCGGGTCTACCATTTGTCATTTGAGTATAGCGCATTTTGGAGAATTTTGTATGTTTCAATTGACTAGAAAAAACTATAATAATAAATATAATAAAGAACCTTTAAGTGCTGAAATCACTCAAAACCTATTACTCCACAATATGCGTATTACTTGCATTATCATTATCATCAACGCAAACATTTACAACCTTAAATCGCCTTTATTACCATTTCAGGTAGGGGAACAAAATTAGAATTTGCTATAGAATAACCCTCGTAAATGCTACATTAGCGTTCAATAGGAAAATAAACTGTAAAAGTAAACAGATAATCGAGCTTATAGATCGAAAATGGTTAATCCATTTTCAAAACCAAACCCAAAATAGTGTGGCTTTGCCCTTTTTGTACTTCAATTGTTGATAGCACAAGAAAGAGCTGAAACTCTGGGCTCTATCAGCCGTCTTTTTCAAATTCGAACGTCTGTGCAGATTTTGCCTGAGCCAACGAGAACATGTCCGTTGCTGTGGTAGTTGTAAGCCGGCTTCTGTTTAATATCCGCCATCTAACAAACCGTCTTCGTTATACATCGCAGTGGTCGAAACTTCAGCTAGAACTTCGGGTTCGTTAGACACAGCCTTTGCTCGGAAGTTGTAATGATGTGAAACATAATCCACCCTACAATATCAACAAGATTGAATGAGCCCCGTTTCACTCCATGTATCCTTGATTTCTAGTGGTAATTTTTTGCGTACATTGTTTTGGTCACGTGATAGGAAAATTGCCGTAGTTCTGCAATATTTGGATATCAATACTCAGAAAAACGTCAATGGAGGGCCAAGGTACATATAGCACTTGTTAAAAAGAAATAGGTTCCAAGCTGAAGCAGAAGTCGTATAATTCACTGCCGAGTTACTTTTGATTACTCCTGTATATTATTATACATAATAAGTAGACATCGTAATATAATTATAATATCTATATATAAATGTATCGAGTTTTGTATCTGGCACTGCCGTTAGATATGACTTCCTATTATTACCTAATCTAACCAAATTGAGGTGAACGCATTACTTTTTTATTCATTTAGCGCATACTCAGGTTTTCCAGACACGTTTGTTTGACAAGCCCAGAATGCAAATGACACAAATCGTCAGAAGCGTTTTGAGAATAGGATATGTACGGAATACATAAGTAGAGAGAGAAGGAGGTTGAAGAGTAGGACTTTATAAAATTATTAAAGATTTTAATACGGGATTTCCCTTGTTTTAATCCCAGTATTCTACTACATTCGTTTAACGGAAAAAGTGTTGCTGTTACCAAGACATCTCTATATAATGCAACATTCTTCAACAAGTGCAGCAACTAATGCGAGGTCTTGGGAGTCTACACAACAAGAAATCCTGATAGGACCTGCAACGAACATCTCAAATGCGCCGTCGTTATGGTACCGTTGTAAATGGCTATCTACTGGTATGCTTCTAGCTTTCCTTAGTGATTCCTAAAGGAAATAAATAGCGAGCAAACGCGTTTGTTATAAGTTGCTCTCCTAGAAATCCTACAAGACTCGCATATGACGCAAAGCCTTTTGCAAAAATGGTTTTATATATTTACATATATATCAGCTATATATATATATATATATATATAGCTGATATTGACATAGAATAATAAAACAAAGGTAGATAAACTGAATTTTATTGATGAAGACGATTACTATATGGGGCGCAAATTGGCATATAAAGCATATGTTTGCATATTACGCATATATTCAAGTCGTAATTTTTCCGATAAGGTGAGTTGGTGTTGTGTAGGAAATTCGTATTTACGTCGTGCTTATGACGGTTAACAGAGTACCCACTGTCGATACCTGCTGTACCAATCGCTGCAGAGCATACCAAAATGAGCTAAAGCGTTTAACAGATTTTTTAAAATATCAACTATTTGTACAGAGTCTCGCGTATTTTATTTTTTTTTGTTAGATTTGCCTGTATTGGCAGATACATTAGAGGGTCCGATTGTGGGTTCGCTATAATTGACATGCTGTTTCAATTTATGGTCAGGATATTGCGAGCTGTTAACTATGGGTCTCTTTCGAGACTACTTGGATCCCAAATATCAGTAAGTTTACATGGATGACGACTTTGCGGGCAGCACGGTCTTAGTGTGATCTGCTTTAGCTAATACGCAGTTACACTGAAGTTGTTAGTTCATCCTTGAAGTTTGCTGTGGCTTACACGAGCCGGAGTGGTTTTGAGATCGCGTTGATACACTGTTACTTGTACTGTTTGACGAACTATGTTGTACTCTCAATCCTTCAGATCACATAAACGAAGTTGACTTTTTATCTTATATAGCTCATGGAACACTAATCCGACATATTCATACATCAAATTACCTCCGCGGCAAGTACAGGCATCGTTGGAAAAAGAAACTTCAAAAAACGAGTGAAATAGTGGACGTTTATATCATTTTATCGACGGCTGAAGTAAACTATATTTTTATTTGTTTTTACGGCCTATTACATGCAGTGTAGCAAATATATATATATATATACATTCAGTAATAAATAAAAATTATAAATTTTCGCAACAGTTTTCCTGTTTGACTCAAATTATCTGACGAAATGTTGATGTTCCTTCAATCTCAAACAAGGTTTCTAAAATATCAGGCCGAGTCGTACGCTGCAAGCGCCTGCGTGTCCTATTCGTTAGCAAAACATCTGTAAATGGTTTGATAATATCAAACATGGCTGCGTGTAGAATAAAAATCTAAAATTTGAGGTAACGATAGAAGGTATACGCCCTTGCATATTCATTTGGTAATGCTATATTTGTTTCTAAGGCAGTTGGTTACAACACTTTTTAGCGAAAATGGAAAATTTAATCTTAAGATCAGTAGAAGGTCACGAAGGAACCAACATTTGCTCAGTCTAATTTAAGTAAATACGCAACCCACCTTGAATTTTTTGCAGAGATGCCTAATGATAGACGGCTTCAATAACACCTCGATACCGTACTACAAGCTGCCGCTAACTAACAAGATACTAAAAAGTACATAAATGTGAAACTTAATTAAAAATAAACTAATCTTTTTCCTATATTTTGTTTGAAATAATTCTTATTTTATATAGTTTTTATAGCTTGGGAAGCCTACTTAGGTCTAATATGACGTATTCATTTTTATTGTAGTGATTACTTAAAACTACTAAATTAAATTTTTTTTTATTATCATTTCTAAAGATGTCATTTAATAATAGTTGCTGTTATAACGTTAAATCACTTTTCACAATTCCACTTAATTCTTCCTTGCTAATGTCCAATTTTTCACGGGACAACGACTCGAGCCCATCTGTCAATATATCCATCCTGATCTGAGTTCCGGTGGTTCCGTTTAACGATGACATATATTGCCTGTCTCTCTACATTGCACACATATATAGTGCCGTATTAACAAGCTTTTTTAACAAGCATGTCTAATAGTCTAGCACGACTTGAACTCGGTTCATTTTGTCCTGTTGCGCTACTTAGCCTCATCGGAAAAAGCTATCCGCACCTCTGTCCGCGTAGTATATTTATAACTATAGAAACTATCATTATATATGGTTACTTACGTCCACGTTGGCATTACATTAATTGTGGGGACCCCGAGGAGACTAACGGTTCTCTTCTACTTGCCAGTTCGGGTCGATCTCTCGCAGAAGTCGCAGTTCCGGTCATCTAAACATAGTACTTCTGCTTTACTATCGTGCAAGCGCCAATTTCCGGAACTTAGACGGCTAATAGAGCTGCCTCCCGCCACGGGTCCCGCTGTCGTTTAAACCTCACGTAAAAAAAGCGTGAAAAATTTCCGCTATCTCCTAAGCGTGACGGGCTGGAAATACTAAACGAAATAGCCTTACAATTTCTATTAACTGTTAGTTCTGTCTTTGGCGTAAAACTGAGCGTTATAAATACAGAACAATGCGAAAATGACTTAAATTTTTTTACAGCAAAATCAAATAGTTCGGGTTTGAGCATTTTAACGTACACAAGAACGTTAATACTGTTATTATTTTTTTTTTTTTAATAAAACGACACTTGTTGAATACTACTAGTATCATACAGTTACAACATATGATACATTGTACCAGTTTGTGTAGGTGCGTATAGAAAGCTACTGAGCAGCGATCTTAGTTAGACCGAATTACAAAGCACAAATTCGAAATTAGGCTAATTCCTCATATTGAAGCCGTCAGGTTCGATTTAGAAAGCAGCTGAGGTATTCGAAAACATTTCAAAGCAAAGTAAATATGAAAAAAAAAAAACGACAATAACTGCAACACTCAACATTTCAAGCGTGTAACGACAAGCTCGTTCCTCGCTACCATTTACGCACTTAGTCAAATCATATCGGTTGGTGTCATTATTTTCGTTCAGCAGAAAATCTACTACAATTAAGTAGCTGAACAATAGTAATTTGGTGCGCTAAATAACTACAGGAAAAATTATTTTACGCTTGTTGTATAGTCGGCTTGACTACTACTACTACTACTACTATCGTTATAGTTGTTATTTAAGGGATTTAGGCGATTGATTTAATGTTTACACATACCGACATGAATTGTCGGTACATTTGATGCTTATGAACGAGAGAATCTGTTTGTTGTGTGCATGTGTACGTGTGATGATATTAGTAGAGAGGGGAATCCCTGTTTTAATTAGTAGATAGATATGACTTTGTGCTACCGCTAAAACCTATCAACAGGAAGACCAAAAAGCTAAAATTCAACCCCAAATCCCGGCAGTAATATTGGCTCAGGCTGATATGTGCGTCAATAAGTGGCTGTAGTAGAAAAATTACATCACTTGGGAAACTTTGGGTATTATTTTTAATATCGCTGACACTGTTTCGAAATAATTCCCCGTACTCCAAAGACCCAATTACGTAAGCATATGGTACGAAGCAGTTAACATTAGGAATAATTCCTTTGTTGTGATTTACATTTTCGTTTTTAGTCGTTCATAATTTTTGTAGTTGTAACAGATTTCGATCGAAGTAGTGTTATCTTGTATTCTGCACACGCGTTTCTCAGCAGGATCCCAACGAAGATGGTTACAATCGAAATTTAGTTCTAAGCTATTGAACTAGGCCGTCTGTTGCTTTGGCGTCCGGTACACCGGGGAACAGCACACTGCTTACACCGTACTGAATTTGAAAAGATATTTTTCGAATCCTATACCTATTAAACTTATCGACACTTGTTGAAGTTATCTAGGTTTGAAACTGAACGTGGACACACGTTGCTTACGCAGAAAGCAACCAGCAGTACCGAACGTACGACGTGCACTAATTATTTAATACGGTCGGATTCTGCTCTGAAGCGACCTAGCTAGAAGACCTAGAAGGACCTGTGTTTTTATACTGGAGTTAATAAAAATACTTCGTTTGTTTCTTGAAGTCATAAGCGAGCGCCGTACGTACCCCAACACTGCAATAAGCAGAAACATATCTAGATCAACGAAAGCTGTGCTTGTATTTTCAGGTACTTTCAGATTATCTGGATCTCATAATATAAAAATGATACGAGTTAAATATCATATTATTAAAGGCAAAGTGCGTTTTGACATATGCGTAGGGATCGGTTTTTGTAGGCCGTTTCACAATGACCCATGTCCCAAATTTTTTTTTTTGACCCAGAGATGAAATTATGCCCATGAATTGAACTCTTTATCGCTGTGATATATTTACCTATTTTGATTGATTCTCATCTGAAGAAGTGCTTTTTGTAAATTGAAAATAACTACCCCGATGATGGTAAGGTGAATATGAGTCAGAGAAATTTGAAAATAAAAACTGATGTGTTGAACTAAGCCATCACAGACGTATTGGTCTTCCAGGTGTGAATGGTTGGCTTTTTTGTGTTTTTGAGTTGATTTAGGCTTTATGAATTTGACGTCATTATTATTAAACAACTGTTTAAGCTGCAGTATATCGAACGTAGCTTCCTAATCCACGTTAGTTCTGGCGTCATACTTCTCAAACTATTTGTTTTAGCCAACGCGGGCCTTTGCGCGGGACAGTGACTTTGATTTGAAGTTCTTTCTACACTGCCGCATACATAATGCGTTAACTTATTGAAAGTGGCTAAACTAAGCAAAAATAAGCTATAATTAGCTGCCTAAAAGGATGGTAACTACAACAAAGATGAAACTGCTGATTGCCAGTAAATAGTACTCTAAATTCAGGTAATATTTTTCCAAGCTTGTGTAACCTTACTAACAATATTTTTTGCATTCTGAAAAAAAATCAAACATGGATTATTTGCCTAAGCGCTAAATAAACAGATCTAATTAGATTTGTATCTATCTGAATAGCCATTAATACAGGAATGACAGAATAGAATATGGAATAATGCATCAAAAATTGAGTGAAGTATGTGTCACAATATGAACTCTAAAGAGATGATTAGACCGTCCAAACTAATCTCAAGGGTGTTGTTGGTAACAACAATGCAAGTAGGTTCAAAGGGCATCATGTTTTATGAACTGAATTAAACCATGATATAAAAGCAAGGCTACTTACATCGTAATGTCGACGATTCTGACTATTTAACAGCGTGTTCGACACTGGAAATCTATCTAAAGTATTAAAAATAAATAAAATGTACCTTAATAAGCAAGAATTACAAATCAGGGAGTGTGAGTTGAATTGTGACCTATCAGGATCATGGTTTAGTTTACATGAAAACATACTTATAAAGCGCCACCTACTGGTTGGAATACGCTCTTCGAAAGCTAGGCCAGACACAAATAACGTACTTATTTGGATTGAGAACAGATAGCCTATTCACAAAAGCCTGTCTATCTATGCATTTCAAAGCGTTCTATTAAAGTGCCTGAAGCATCTAATTTCCCAATAAATTTCTTGTGGCTTAAACGTCTCTAACGAGCGAATTTAGCACTTACGTTCTACAAACACCATTTGTTTTTACCTACTTCTTTTCACGTTCCGTTTGGTCTGAATGAAAGCCTTGCGCTGAAAGAATTTGATACTTCATAATATCCTATTTTTCGTTTACTCTCTTCAAATGTGTATATATATATATATCTTGTCCGTTCAACATCGCTACACATAACACACACATTTCTATGTAACTGTGCTTACAATTAGATAACTTTATTGTATATGTACATACACAGACAATAACTTTGCATTATACAGATATTGTAAGAAATATATAGCATAAGCTAGCTGAGTTGAACTCAATCGAATGTAGTATTGTTCGGAGAGACTTAAACGATGGGACTTTTGCCGGGCACAAACATCGGGAGATGGGTTAGATTGGTCGTTTTGTACCGTACCATATTCTGTAACGTCCTTTTGAGTCCTTCGAGAACTTCGTCGTCACTACTACTAAAAATGATTTTTCGAACATCGCCATCGTAACTTAGCAATGCTACAAAATTATGGAGCATAAAACGAAGGCAAAAGTCGAGCAGATATTGTGCGTGATACGCTCTTGCATGTGTCAGAACGGAAGCGATATTCTCCATGGTTACCGTCTGCAATCACGGGAAAAGGAAGGCTCATGAAAGGGTTTCTGATCGTGGCTGAAATTGGCAAATGGCTGTTATTCGGAAACAAAAGTTTAACGTAACTTATTTGTTCTTGTAACTTATCCAGCAAAAATGGATTAGTAGACGGTTTTTTGTTCATATATATATATATATATATATATATATATATATTCATTGTAGACCTTTGAAATGAATTACTCGTTGTCTAATGAGAGACAAAAATGCATTGGCCGCGCTCAATAAGTGCTGCAATGCTAAGAAGCTCTGAGCTTTTCATATATTAGTTATTTATATTAATTGCTTTACAACTGTTTTATGCTTACCTTTGAGCAGATGTGTTCACAATACGCAACGAGTGGCTCTAACTGGAAATAGTGAGCTGCTGTGAGCAACTCGAGACAATCTTGCGGGGAAACGTACGTTAAACCCTCAAATCCTCCTTTGTATAAATATTCCATTACCATCTAATGAAATGAACAACATAAAAATAATATTTAGTTAACATGAAGTTATGTAAAGAGAACAAGTCATAAGGTCTTCGTATTGAAACAACACACAGAAATTCTCTTGCGGCCCCTTCCATAAAAAAGGAAACACCTTCAACTTAAGATAGTTGTATTGTACGACTTGACCTAGCGGACCCTAATTTGACAAGTGTTGGTCTATAAAAATGAACCTCTAGCATGGTGAAGTCAAACCGTGTGAGAGGAAGTACTTTGCGTCGGTTCCTACTCAATAGTTGTTCTGTCTTGCTTTTTTGCTTGGCCTAAGTAGATGATAATGTTTGGACCAAATATAAGCTAAATCGTTACTTTTAGAAAACTATAGTAAAAAATAACTACCAAAATCTTACTCATTGAATAGGCCGATTACCAAAATCTTACTCATTGAATAGGCCGATTAATGACTGAGTCAGTTTGCTTTTCTTATGAAATTTTCATGGCACGAAACTACGATATGCTTTTATTTGTTTTTTAATTTCAAAATAACTATGCAATATTCAAACTAAATACCAGTTTAGGATTAAAGGTCTCAAACCTGGAAGATCGGGTAACGTATATCATTGATGGCCACAAGCTGGTCACTTCCCCCACCCGAAGCAGCGTGAAGCATCTCGGCGAACCGGGGTGAAGCGTTAACGAGGATGATTCTGTGTGCGTAAAATGGACGATTCTCCACAACGAACCGAACGTCAGACATTTCGGCTGAATTAACGAAACGAGCGTCGATTCGAGGGCTCATTGCAGGGGGTGAAGGTGCTGCTAGCGGTGTAGGGGGGGCGCCACCACCGCAGAGTGCCGACACCTGGGACAAAATATCGGCCACTAGAAGTGTGGCTCCTTCATTCTGAAAAAGATGCGCCACGTGATACCATACAGCTTATATATATATATATATAATCAGTTATACGCCCTACATTCTAGGCTTCACTTACCAGGTTACTGCAACAATATCAGAGAAAAAAAAGTAAAACATCTAACCTATATACGCGATCCCGTCACATTATCAGGCCCCATCAAAATGACTGATAGTTCCTGTAATGTGGGTGCCTACAGGGCTCTCAACCACGTAAAGTGCTGTGGATTTGGGACCGCGGTATAAATAAGAGGCACGGGCTTAGAATAATTCCTAATAAAATTCGAGTTATTGACTGCGTCTATTATTGACTGCGATTTCTATTATTGTCATTTTTTTTTACCTTGTTCATGGATCATCTTGTTTCAATTTAACTCAAAAGTGAGGCCACACTCTGTTGTTGGCGGACTACAGTCAATTACATATCAACTAAAATGAATAAAGCCAATATTAGAGATGAGCTCGGTTCAGTCTAGCATTTTGGATATTTTCCTAACTAACTGTGCGATGAGAACTGCTAAGCCCTACGACTAATATCTTAGCCTCGACTGATTTTTCATGGACTTGTTGAAAGACTTTCTCGCAGAAACAATTAATGTGATAGTACGACCACACTTTATTTACTCTATCATTACTTATTTAACTGACCGATATATTTAATATGGACAGTAGTTCTTACTATTTTCTTATAAATAATTATCTAACTTTGACCTTTAGCTACTGATTACCTCTAACGCGCGGTATTGCTACTATTTGAAAGAGATCTATTTAAATATTAAGACGAGAATCAAACCTTAATACCTTGCTATAACGAAAAAGACTAAAGAGGAGTGGAACAGTATCCTCAGCCAACTGGGTGGCTCCATCGTGCACCCACGCTGACTGGAATTCTCGAAGAATCTCTTCAATCGTACTTTCACGACCCACGTCATGGCACGCTGCTAAAGATTTGCTCCAACTATGCAAAGTCCACGGAACTCCTAAACGAGAACAGATAATAGTATTATGAGCGAACCCACATTGGCCCGAGTCGTATGCGAATGTCTCAAAAAAACTACATACAAATCATAACATAGCTACGATACGGAGCTAGAAAAGTATAAGAAGGAAGCAAATAGATCTTGTAGTCCAGCTATGTTTAGTTCAAGCATAGCCGCACTGTGTAATTGCTAGACTGGCACCTTCGAAGCCAATCAACTATTAATCTCCGCTGTTAACATGCAAGTATGTTCTAAAAGTGGGTAAGCTTGAGAATATTAGAATAGAAAAGTGCATTCGTGTATCAATGGATTCAACCATGCTGACCCATATTGCGAAGGTCGAGCGTAACCTCAAGAAAGCCATTTTCTGCACTATGGTACATCGCCTCTTGCAAGCACCTCCACTGATTTTTAGAGAACTTATACTGGCGAGTTTTCCTCTGCAGAGTCGACTGGCTTCCCTCTGAAAGGATTTCCTCAAGCGACACGGCCGTCTGGGCTGATGAGCCCTGTAGAGGATGAGATACTAATCGATGCAATACGGCCCGATGACCATGTGCTGCGGCCAGCGCTACAGGCGACGGTGACCCGCTCCGGGCTAACCCGCCGTGTGCATAGCTTTGTGTGTCCGCAGTCGATGTCGCTAAATACGGATGAGCTCCGAAGGACAATAGAAGCGTGATAAGATCATGGTGGGCGGCGGCTGTGGCTAGCTGCAGAGGTGTATCGGTGGGTTGGGAATCACCTCCTCCTTCGACGTTCGCGCCACTCTCGAGAAGAGCTTTGGTTGCCCCAACGTGACCGTGCGCGGCGGCGTAGCTTAAAGCTGTCCAGAGATTGCACTCGTGTCTTGCCCCAGGATAAGCGCTAGTGCATCTCGGTGTTGTCATTTCGGGATCTGCTCCCGACGAAAGAAGACACTTAATGGAAGCCTCGTCGCCCCGGATCGCAGCGATCATCAACGCACTCAGACCCTAATAAAGGAAATGAATAACCCTTCTTTATATAAGGTTTTCGACTTGTTGGGTTTAGTATTTGCGCATAATCTTGACAAGCATGACTTGACTGAATAGATGGTGGAAAACAATAGCGACAGATTCGTTATTTAAAGGCATCATTAATGGAAGTATTTGTTTTTGTTGAAGCACTCGTATTCAAAGCTTTTGGTGATACCTCTTCGTTAAGCGTATTGACTCCGTTTGGTAGCTGTTTAAGAACGCCCTGGATAACATCCAGCCGGGTTGAACTTCCCAATAGCCGCAAAGCGGTTCGAGTATTCATGAGACGCACTGCTTCGGCACTCGCAATCTTTTCGGGTAGAAATTCGATAGGCTCTTGCTGGATTCTGCATGGTATGTAGTATAGGAAACGCGAAATCAATTACTTTTCTCTCTACAGACTCGAGTCACACAATATATTTGGACCAAACACTCCCGTAGTAAGTATTTTGGCGTTGTGCTTCGAAATGATATATACTATTTAGCTCACTGTAAGAAGATCCTCATTCGTGTTCACACTGTCTTTTGGAGCACAAGCAAGCGAAACCTTTTCCTTCGAATTTTTCGAGGCTATTTGTATTCCATTTTTTTCTTGTGGATCCGGATAATGCTGCACAACTCACCCAAAAGCCCGGATTGGACAATCAACGCCAGGCAGAAGTAGCCTTGCTGCTTGAAGGACGTCGTTATCGTCCACCGTAAAGGAATTATGCCGATGTACAGCGAATGCAGCCGCAACTCGAATCCAGTCAATCAGGGGCGGCAGTGGCTGTGAACGCGCATGGTCGGACAGCAACGGATTTACGCCGTCGATACCGCCAAGCGTTAGGTGCAAAGCTGATAACGTCCCAGAAATGCCACTCATATTCCCCGCTGAAATCGAGGTCGACGAGGACGTCGTTGTTTGAGAGTGCTCCAACTGGGAACATCGTGTGAAGTGGAAAAGCGCTCGCGTGCCTGCCGAAGACCATCTCACTGTATAAAAATCAAATCAAATTTATCCTTAAAAAAAGATTTAAAATTAATTAAATTTTGTTGTAAGTAATTTTTGAGTGAACAATTACAAACATATGATACGCGTGTTAAATAAAGACTGGTAGCGAGCTACACCAGTACGCCTAAATGTAACGGTTAATGTATTGCCTTACACTTGTTACTGGTTAGTAAAAGAAAACAAGAGCACCGATGACAACTTACCCACATGGTTGCCCCAGGCAGGTCGCATTGCCATATTTAACAAATGTAGTGCCTTCGTTATTAACTCCTCAAGTTCAGCAAGGCCAGCCACGCACGTTGTCAGCATCGAGTGTTCATCACCCCTCGTCGGTACCTGAACAGGCCAACGGGGTAACACAGGAACGCCGAGAGCACTTCTTGATGAGCTTAACTGTACATATGGCTGGAACAGACCAAAGAGGTCTCCGCTTTGGGACAACGCTGAGTCCAGCGATGCCGCGGTTAGTTTGTCGTAGCACCTGTCGGTCAATTGGTGAGCAAATAAAACGAATCAATGAGCAACTAACAGATCTGTAAAAGACCCATACTTTTGCATTAGGAAACATCTTTATTTTAAAAATAACTAACACACGATACTAATATGAAAGATAAACTACTCGTGATAAATGTATCGTCGCTTACCGAACGTCCAATATGTATAAAGAGAATACGGCTAATTGGGAGTTCAAATGTACCGTTTTTCATGCACATTGAAATAATAAATATAATTCTAAATGTACCTGAGGCTTGCTAGAATAGTTTCCTCGAAAATGTTCTCCAGGGAAGCTGTTAGAAATACAGCAGCCATCTCTGGTATTGAAAGTCCGAGTGAATTATCTAGCGCCCAGCGATGAAACAATCCGACTGAGAGAGACAAGCCAGCCCGAGACGATTTCGACTGACGGGAGCATAATGCCCCTCCAAAGATCGCTGCCGAACGGTGGCATGCTGGGCGTATTGGGCATAGTGTAGAGCGCATTAATTACTCTTCACGGTTACAGCAGTGTGAATTTAAATTGCATAATAAAACTGCAGCAGGTTTTTATATTATCTGCACTATTATGAAACGTTCCATATCTTAGGGGTTCACAAGATGAGGAATATTTGGATCCAAATATCAAGAAGCGTGGAAATACGGCTTTTTTTTTTTTTTTTTTTAACGAAACAAAAACACTATTTTCAGAATTGACTCGCTATTTGTGATTGATTCTAAATTAAGCAGTCCTACCAACCTTTAACACAACCATATGCCAACCACGGTGGTAACACAACCCAAAGAGCGGATATCACCTCACTTTTCCCACAAACTCCAACAGCCCGCGCAAACCGTTGCGCCTCGCGTGCAATTCTTGATAGTGGCCTTTGTAACAGAAAGGCGAGCTTTGGAAGAGAATCGCCTGAAATACGTGGCAAAAACTCCCGAAGCTTCGCAGAGTTCTCTATAACACGATGAAGATCAGTTGTGTTCCAGGGAGGACGTTGAAGCGGAGGAAGCCGTTGAGCTGCGGTAGCTGCTAGTGCCGGATCCAGCCAAACGAAGTCGTTCGTTGCGTTTGCTATAAATATAGTATAATATATTACTAAAGTTTGTCATATTGGTTTACAACATAGATTATTGTAGTTGCCGAATGCTGAAGTTACTTACAAGTAATATTTGTTGCGACGGTTTCTACACTGGACTGATGGCATGCCCTCGGAGAAGATTTTTTGGCAGAAGGAAGGCTTGTGCAGGTGATTTGTTCATCCGAATCCGTCGAGACGGCGCTTCTACAGAAATAAAGTTAAGAAGAGAAACACAGAAGAAGATATTATTTTTAAACGAGAATTAAAAAAAGCTTGTTTGTCAAAAAAGGAATTGTGTTGACCAGGGCCTTAATAGTTAGCTATGAAAATCGATTTGTACTTAAAACAATATATATATAAAGAAGAGACGTTCCCTGTAACTAAAATCGAGACGAAAGTTATTTGCATACTCTTAAGAATTGGTGCTAAATGCCACAGAGGATGTCGTTCTATACCCTTATTCATATATATTATGTATTAGGTTAGATGGGATAATGGCGATTTTGGTTGCTCTTTACCTTTCGCTGGTAAATGCTTCACAAGGCTATTGCTATCGCTTTGGAATTATGAAATTTTACTTGCAGTTCGGACTTTAAAGCCGTATTGTGTGTGAAAAAAGCGTGTTTACAACACATATTTTTGAAAGTGACCTTCATCGAAATGGTAAAGTTAAATGAAGTGCGTCCTTGAAATCGAAGAGCATTTTTTTGATTTAGTAGGCCACGGTTTAGTATTTCTGTCAGCTATAAAATTCTGGTGGTACACGCCGTGCCTGTATTAGGTTGTTTCGGCACCTTTTTAACTTCTGTTAAAGACAAATAAGAATTGACGCCGATCGCCACTCGACATAGCCATCCACGGGCTGCAAGTGCTAGATCTGAATAGGACGATGGCGGTAGTCCTGTGGAATAAAGAAGGATTTCCGACGCTATACAACACAACGCAGAAAAACATCAAACAATAATTAGAACTGCTCACTTGTGAAGGCAATATATATTTCGGCGCAAATCTAAATGATAACAACAGCCATTTCCTATGTTGGCCACGAATATCTTATGTTGAAACATCCTTTCATGCCTACAACAAAAAAATTCAAATAGAAGATGACAAACGCGGCAGCGTACGATCCCAGATCAGCTCAGAATTGTTTATGATTCGTGTAACTAAATACCTACACAGCTCCAAATCCGCATCAGTCTAACATCAATGCGATGAGATAGACAGCTATGTTTACCTGCAAGTTGGCCATACCTCAATTTGCCTATGTAACTTAACCAAGATTCTGTAAATGAAAAAATAGAATACCCTCGTTGAATTTTGGCTTCTACTTTGGTGCCTGCTTGCAGAAAATGTCTTGATCGAAGATATAGTGGTCTACCATAAAATGGTCAGTCGAGCGTACGCATCTTCATCATAATTTCTATAGTATTTTGTTAAGATACATATCTTACAGGTGCATAGGGTCTTGTCAACTCTATCAACATCCATACTTTCTTACTCTTTACTGTAAAGTACATTGTATGCCTATAATAAAGGTGCTGGCGGAAAAAATATTCTATCCTTTTAGCATTTGCTCATTGGTGACAAATGTAACAAACAGCCACCGAGATATCCGAGACAAAATTCCGTTGAAAGATCCGGATGAATAGATGTCCCAAAAAAAATGAACTGGTCAATGTCCAACCGGAAATGGAATTGGGTCGTTTTGGCCTCACTGTGAGCGTTGGAAGTTGGATTGTTTGGAAAAAACAGGTGACATTATCAAACAAATATCATCACAGAAAAGAGACCGCTCTACGAATTAGTGTATTACTTGCTCCACGACAATTAGGCTATCTTGGTTTGTAGAAGAGCCGCCTTTTTTACATATGGAATTCGACAGAATTTTTCTTGCGTTAGAAATAAAACAATCGAGGGCGAACGATGAAATTGCCCATAACTGTACGACATATAGGTCACAGTTTTAAAATCTATGTTCGAGTCCATATAGCTTGCATCAGCTGTCACTGGCCTGGGGGCTGATTTGAGGTTAGTGAGTGTTTTCATGTTGGATCCTGCCACTTGACTGAACATAACGTAATTACACCAAATGTACAATATATACACTATAAGTATATGCGTCCGATTTGCTTGTATACTTCGTAATGAAGGTACTTCTATTAAAATATGCTTTTCATATTGACACTTTCAACAGATCGCAAAAACAGAGCCAAAAAAAGATAACTCTTAAACTGATTTACCGCTGACTCCTAGCTGTGCCGTTATTTGTCAATGAAACGTTCCCGGTAGAAAGATTCAACTTATGTAGTAGTTGTTCTGGATCAAAGGGGATCGCGCTATGGGAGCCTTCGATTTCTTTGGCATTTCCACACGGCAAGAGCGCGTAGTCGCTTGCTGTGCTCTCGGTCATTGAAGCATGTCCGGAGCTGTCGCACCTGTTAAGCGAAGGCAATCGTCGTTAAGTTAAATGTTTGGCGCACGTTGAGTCCTCATAGATGTAACGCTGCTGGCGAACGTACTTTTCTCGTAGCTGGGATTGCCGAAAGCTAGAGAACGTATATTGTCGGTCAAATGAAAAACGTAATCGTTCAACCCCTATGCGCGGAACGGAAAACTGCCGTTTTCAAAGCTCAGATTAAAGTCTTTTTGTCTGCTGATTGCTATTGGTAAATCATAAAATGAAACTAGTATTACGTATATGTAATCGTGTAAATTCTACTTTTAGTATAATTCTTTCTCAGAAAATGAGCATTCTATCAGTTGGTAAAGGTTCATCATTTACCAGTACACGTATTTTCAACCCTTTCGATTAAGGTGGATAAAGATGGACCCGATGGATAAAGAATACGAAAATTGTCAAAGAAAATGAAAAAGTGACTCGGAGAAGCTTATTGAGACGAACCTTATTTTCTGTTTCTGTTGTTGCTGCTGCTGCTGTTCCTGCTGCTGCTGCTGCTGCTGCTGCTGTTGTTGCTGTTGTTGTTGTTGTTGTTGTTGCAATAAAAGATCAAGAGATTGCGGAAAGCTGAGTATGTTTCTTCTGCGTTGTTTCATCCGTTGCGGCAGAGATCGGCGTCGTACTTCACCCTTTTCGGTCGAGCTCAGCGAGTCAGAGTTACTCAAGCTACTGCTCCCGCCAGCTCTGCAGTCAAGTGAATTTACATGTTACATACGTTACTCTGTAAATAGAGGAAGGTTCACGGCTCGAAGTCTGTGAACTTTGCAAAACAAAGCCATTAACGGGTCGTTGTACAGAGAAAATTGCACAGGACGACTTCAATTCGCGCTGTGAATTACCTAAATATAAGTGCAGTAGTCAGAGTGTTTGCGCAAAATCATGATTAAACATGGGCCAAATAAAACTGACTGTTACAGACGCCATCTAAGTTCGTACGACAAGTACTTAATGTGATTATAGTTTCGTAGATTCGTATGTCCTCTGAGGGACGTTGGGGTTAGAAAGTACCTACCTTCTCTCCACACTAACAAGCATTTTTGTTACGTCTATATCATACACATCATAATCTTCAGATGGGCTAGTTTCTTGATTGCCGCCTGTCTCGAAATCTGCACCGTCACCAGCTACGCCTGCACGTGCTGTGTACATGCCAACGCTACCATTTTTACAGCCACTGATAACCTCCAAGCCAGCAAATTTCTCACGATTAGCTACGAGGCTCCCACAGGCTGTGTTGCTGTTTCTGCTGCCAGAAACGGGAGTGCGTCTCTGCCGTCCGTTCGATGGCGAATAACGCGTTGATGACGAACATGAAGAGGGTGTTGCCGATCCTGTGGAGGCGCCTGCATGCGGCGTATGAGGTCGAGGACGACTCGTTGAACGTGGGCGAGGTCGGTGAAGTGCGGGTGCTGACCCTCCAGCAAGATTTCTCTGTAGAGGCCGTTGCGACTTTAGGGGAGTGCATTCGACCATGTCATCGGTGGCGGTGTCCTCCCGGAACACGTCGTTTTCCAGGTCAGCGCAGTTCAGCTCAGGAAACTGTGAGCTGCTGGCTGTGCTTGTAGATCCCGGAGCAGCTCCGTCGCCGGGGGCTCGAATCTGAGATGCTGGCACGACACACCGATCACCTCCGACGACGATGAATGCCATTGGACCGTGACTCTGTCGGACATCGCTTAGCCTACGCGGTTTTGGCCGGATGATGTCAGGTACGTGGGCGGCGAATGTCGAGAACTCGGGAACTGGATGCAACTCGGTTGCCATTTTAGCCAGTAGAGTCTAAACGGCCAGAAGTGAAGACAATTCCAGATTCAGCAATCCGAACGATGCCCTGAAAGAAGAATTACGTATCAGCGTACCATTAGTTAGCTAGAGTGGTTGTATTTCGACACACGCATACTAACTTAATTAAACCTTCACGAACACAGTAAAATGGCTTACTGTTCTATTTATACTCATTATTTTTATTGTTTCGTGTTGAATCATTTTGCGTTTTTTTTTGCTTATCTGCTAGTTTTCTTATAATCAGTATACTTTTGTTACGATAAAATGCGTCATTTGATCACATTGATTTTCATGAACAAATAACTCTGGATGCAGTATTTTGGTGAGGTAATCACTATCCCTATAGAGCTATCCATAGAATGTTGAGTTACTTTCGTCTGACATTGCAAAAAAATAATCACACTATCGCACAGTGTTTGTGGTATATTTCATCAAGAGCAAGGCCTGTTTATCCTATCATATCGTGCCATTAGCAGACGACACCTGTCACAACGAAGAGTAGTCGCGTATCAATACCGTTTAATATGCCAGTTTATTACTAACATAAAGCAAGACTTTAATAATTTTAATAATTCTAGAAATAAATCAATTGCTGTCAGTCTGATACGCCTTACATTGTGTATGGTGACCAGTTACTATCGATGGAGGTGAGTTTCGCTAGTTTACCCTTTAGAACTAAACGCCTCCATAGGCAATTGAACGGCTATGCTGACGATGGTACAACAGATCATTCATTCAGCGTATGTTAAAGTGTTATATGTAACATAATATGCGTTCTTTATTATTTAAGGGGCGTTACTAGTTCATTCAGCATATTGATTTGCTGGGACAATTTGTGACACCGGGCAGCCAATGAAACCTTCTTCTTTCGTTCCATAATTCATAGCTATTACGCTATTGTATGTGCCGGTGAAAGGTCAGGGACAACTTGATCTCACGATGAAACTCAAATATATATATATATATAATGTGATAATAATCTTGATATATGTCTAATCGGGCCATGAGCAGCTCATACAATGTTTCCGACGGACGGAACTGTGTGTACTATAATGAAGAAATTAATTTCATTTAATTAGGGATATGAAGCATGTGAATTTAATTCGTCAAGCAGATTGCTGAAGATTAAATATTTTGCTACATATACAATATAATAATATAAATATACATAATCTTCGCCGCGAAGAACCCGCAGTGAAATATTCGTCTAGCACCACAATAGCCCTTCTGTTGGTAGGGATTGACGATGTTGCGTAAACACGACGGGCACTACTCGTCAGATATTAATTTTCCCCCTGTTACGGCTCGATTCGTCCTTCTCGAAGCTCTGCTGCGCCTGGCGGATGTTGGCGCCGTTGGCCAAGTCGTTGCCTTGATTCTGCTACGTAAACAGCTTTCCGTCGTCTGTGTGGTATTTAGCAGAGTCGCATCCCTTCCATGCACCTCTTATTGTTCTTTCCATACATTCGATTAAACGAAATATATCGCACGCCGCCTATTTATGCAGGTGGACTCTGTTCCTCTTCTTCGTTACTTGACTGCCCCCCGCGATCAACCCACTGCTTTCCTCTTGACGTGGACAATGTGGAAGATGAGTACGATGATAGCAAGTTTCGATCCTTGTCGAGGCTGCTGGCTTGCTACGTGCTCTTAGGTGCGACCGTTATGCAATCAAAACCATCGTTACACTGCTGTAGAGGGCCTTGTTAGAACGCTGCTAGTTATCGCCGCTACCACATCGTCAACGGTTAAAATGACGCCCGTTTCCGAACGGAAAACATCCGGCCGAGGTTCGCTGCCGTGACTGGTAGATGGGGGGTGACGTTGCTTTAAGGAGGCGAACATGTTCCTTCGCTTTCATTTCACCGACTCCCTAATGTGCGTCTAATGCATGTGAAGAGCTGGAATGGTCCTTTCAAAGCTCGGCTAAACACTACGCAACTTTTCGTTCGTATGGCAATCTACTGATGGGCCTGTCGCGTTTTCTTCGGTCGGTTGGAGATTGCTTTAGCTGACGGTGTCTTCTAATAAATTTTCATTGTGTTGTAATTGGTGAAAAGCGATGCAGATGCCAATCACCTTTAATCAACAGATGCTTTTCAATTAAACCAATTAGACGGATGGATGTAGGGGACTGAGGCCAGACCTTTCAGGGTGATAAAAAGATGGTGATGTTTTTCTCTTTGATACCACGGTATGTTCTAGGCGTGCATATGTTTTGGGGACGCGGGCAAAAATCAGACAGTTCAACAAAAAGAACGTTCTCGAAAAGTGCGTTTAGGGAGACACACTTGCAGATTAAGCAAATACGTAATAGTATTGAGCGGAACATACGTTAGATCTTATCAACGATATTCGAAAAAGAAACTTAATCCAAATAGTAGTATCGATAAAAATTGAACATAAATAGATAATGAAAATAGATATGAATAATAATAATAATAATAATGAACTTCGAGCGATATCATAAACTACTAGCACCTACTAACAACGGTATTGTAACGGTATAGCAACTTAATTGTCCTAAGTCGTTTGGAACGTCTGTTACATAACGAGCATTTTCAAAATCACTTACAAGCACGCAGTCACGTAACTCAGCAGTATAACTGATGACGAAATGATGTTGGTAAACGAAAATGCTAGTAAAAAAGGACGATGCTGACGGACAGCTTTTCAGTGAGTCTTTGCTACAACTGCTTTTGTGGAAAATTTTTTTCAATAACACTCTGCTGAATTTATATTTTCGCTGAAGACAACTTAGAACGTAAGTAAATAAAAATGTAGGAGAGCGTTTGTTGTTGACATGCAATGTGAAGTTTTAAAAATCAAAGAGGCCGATACACAAAATCCCTATTTGAAACTCTTTCGAAATTATGCTAGAAAATTCGAAATAAAATATTTTACATAAGCAATGATACCATTGTCCGTGAACATACATGTAACTGTACACTTTTTTATGTTACGTACTTTTTGATAACCGCCTCTGTTGAACTGCAGTCTCAAGATTACAGTTGTGGTTTCTACAAGTTGATGACAAAAGAAACAAACAGATGTATTCCAGATAAGCCGAAATGTTTTTACATTAAGTTGCAAGAGTGCTAGCAGGACTTGGATAAATGTACCGAACTTTCGTAAACGATAAAAAGACAATAAAATTGATCTAAAAATTATCTCTTCTGTGAGTGCGCAGTACACTAAAAACTCATCCGACAAAAAGCGAAGTGGCCATGGTTTTAGATGGTCGTCGGTGTTTCGATAATTTTTTGTCCGTTTTTTTTGTGTCCATCTGGCCGTGCCTGATGCGTGCATCAGACATTAAAATGGAATCGTATCGCTCAACTGGCCTATATTTTGAATCCCGTGGAATCCGACGGAGAAAAGCAAACGACAAGAGTCAAACAGAGCGCGTTTTAGCAACGATTTTGCAAAGATGTTACTCTTTCTAACCAGTTACTTCTGTTGCTGCTGCTGTGGTTGCTGCTTCTGCTTCTGCGACAAGGACATATTAAGAATCCGGCCAGCCCTGTTTAATTGCTCTAAAAAACTTTAGTTTGTGATCTACTTCTATTCATTCTTTTGTTCGTTGAGATAATGCCCGCAAACAGTACAAGTTCGCCAAAAATGATTTGGAAGGATTGATATCATTGTCTCCCAACCATTCTCGCTGGTGTGCTTAAATAGGAAAAAAAATATTCATATTCATAAAAACCATTAATGCCTGTGTGTGGTCATCCATCCGTCTATATGACGTCAGATGACGGAAGCACGTGGAAGCAGTACAAGCCACAGTTTACCGCAGACTGGCTCAGGTAGCCTATATTTTGCAAAAATCGGATTTTTCATGCACATTCAAATGTGAAGCAAATTATCACAAATAGAAGCTTTTTGATATTATCGACAATACTTGGCTAAAGGGTCGCATCTGTCCTATCATTGAGCAACGCTTTAAATTTGAGCTTCGACCGAAGCACGTTTTTCGTGCGTCGTACATCTGCGGTTGCTCGTGTGAGTGCCAGCTTATCTGGGGCTTACTTGATCATTTGCTTCGATCCGCAGCGTGGACCGTACTATGAAATACGAGAGTTCACCTTCTATTCCACTTATACTGCTGTTACGAACACAATACTGCTGATCGTTTGTCTCAAAAAGTTCGCTGTCTTTGTGCTTCGCTTTTTTAGTTTGTTTCTGTGTTTATGCCGTTAAGATCAAGTCGCCAGATCGATCAGTAGTCTTAGTAACAATGCGAAAAAGAAGACGCTAAATATAGGCTATTCTATCGATTTGCAACATAACTAAAGTTGATCAAATATAGCTGGTCGGCTCGAACCAGCATCCGGAAACACATTGTATATATTATAAATCGTCTATGACTGAGCTTAAATGTATTGTATATTAGTACAGCACGTTTTTTCTGTACGATCATAAGAATCCTCAACATCAATATTCGGCCACAAGGTCTAGTACGTTTGTGGCCTGATGGGACTCATTTTGAATGTATTATGGCAAGTGTAATGCGTAATATTCACGCCTCTAGTCAACGATCCATTGAACTATGACGTAAGAGGACTTGTGTTGTTTTCGCGAAAGCTTGTGTGGCCGCTTCGGACGAGGAAAGCACATTTATTCACTGGTTTATAGAATATCGTTGTCTGTACATGGTGTGGGGTTTTTCCAACTTCTGATTGCGTCTCGCTCATCGAACAACTAACTCGATACCGATAAATCCATCCTTTTTTTACTACACAGAATAACACGCACTTCAATGCAACATTACATACAAGCAACACTAACTAATTAAAAGCCTTTGTTTTCTCCTGTTTTTATAGATCAGTTTGCAATGATCGACACATTTTCGAGAGCACAAATTCGAATATGGACGTCCGTGGGCGCCCAATCGTATAGAGGCGCACAATATGGACACGAAGGATGAAAAACGTTATCTTGTTATTATTACTGCTATTGTTGTTGTTGTTGTTGTTATTATCAGGCGACCGTTTGGTGTAAAGTGGTGAAATTGTGATTATTAATCATAATTGTTTCCGTGCT